CTGTGCAAACATGCTTAACTCAATCTAGTGGAAGATGCTCAGTAATCTGTTAGTTAAATATGTGAAATATTCACGGGACCAGACGGTTGATGGATCAACCAAAATTACTTGTCATCACATAAATAAAGGTGATGAACATCCAATTATATAACTACCATGAATGCTTCATTGGAAAAGTAGGGATATGGTCAGTACCAAGATCCAGTGGATGTTAAAGGGTGGGATCATGCAGCCTTCAGACACCGTATGTAATCATATCCAGTGGGGATTGTTAGAAAACAAGGAATGTAACCCAGGATCTCTGTTTATTTTCAACAGACGAATGTCATAATGTGCAATAATGCCTTTTCATTGCCAAAAAGTTTGCCATTTGGGAGGACCATGCATTGCTAACATGACTCATGAACTTTAAGAATCTGAAAGGGATGATATATGATAACACATTTGATCACAACATTGCAGAAGTATAATATGGTCATATTTCATTGTCCAGGTATGCAATATGAAAACACAGATGGACTATTTCGATGAACAGTAATACCATGCCCATCCATTGAATGTCCTTATCTGGGACACCACATGGAAGTGAAAACAATTTCTGCTATAGCATGCAGTCTATACGTTTTATCAGATAGTACCACTCGATAGCTTGGAAAGCAAGTGTCACAAAGTCTTTTTAACTATTGTTTTCCCAACAAATGACCATCCTAGCTGTTGATAATCAAGTGCAAATTACACGGTATAGTGTGTTGTACAATGAGCATCACTTGTAAAGCAAGGATTAACACTTACATTCAGTTAGTGATACTGCAGTAAGTTACTGTCATAACTGCTGATTTGGCAGTTAGGCTCAGCCATAGTGCTCAGGAGAATATTATAGGTATATTGACCAGCCACTAGAGCTATCTGGGACCTTCATATTTGACTCATCATGCATAGCCAAATAACTATCTTCTGTCCCTTCCTCCTCATCAGCTGAGCTAAGATGAAATAACACAGTACTCTTATCATCCTCACACTGATTGGTCTCAACCTCTGATTCCATAATTGGTGTATTTGTAATAAATGATCACAACTTGACAATGTGTTTCATGCGCTTAAGCATGCTGTGTAACCATTGTACCTCATATGTCGATTGAATCAATTATTGAAATACGAGATGTGGACCTTTCCAACTAGAACAAAGTGGCTTAAATACTATTGGCTTGTACCAAAGCTATACCCAGTCTCAACATTAGAATCAATGCTCTTTGACAGCTTTGTCATAGCACCCCTTATGCCATATGGTGGTCTTTCCCATCTGGTGATGTAAAAACCCATGTGTGTCAGCTATTGTAGTTCACAGCCACTCCACATATTCCTATGGCACAATTGAAGTTGGAATGGACCCAAAGTAACATTTATAGAGAGTAGTATTTTTCTACCAAACATAAACATGTACATCCAATCAAACTGTAATTTGTTGCATGGTACATCATCATGACATATAACAAATGTTCATCCACTCAGTTTGACTGAGATTAACAAACATTGCAAGAAACTACTTTATAGTCTGTATCACCTGTTCTACCAAACTGCTTGAATGAGGGTGATAAGGTGAAGTATAAGGCTTCACCAAATCTAATACCTTGTACAGTTTTGGCCAAAATGTTTGCATATTTTGTAACAAATAAGATCATTATTATTAAGATGGAATAAAAATACACTTAGCACTGTCAAACTGAGAAAAGCATGTTATATTAAACATCTACATATGTAATTTGTATAATGAGACAGGTTCTATGGACATCATCAGTGATTTATTAGAACAGTAAACAATTTTATCAGACACCCGTAGAAAAATGTGCAATTCAGCATTCCACCTATAACAATAAAACCTTACCAAAATATATATAATAATAAAATATAACATCAAATTTTTATAAATAACGTCTGTAGCTTTATAGCAGTTCACATTAAACATTCAGTAACTGGTGAGTCCTCCTCCTACTCAAATAACCTCTGCAAGGCGAATGACATGCTGTCAATGAGGTTATTGATGTAACACACCGCGATCTTATCCCAACTTGTCACTAGAAGATACTACAATTCAGCTACAGTAGCTTGTTCAGGGTCGTGATTAGCAGTTTTCTGGCTTAATTCTGCCTAACAGTTCTCAATGGGATTACAATATGGAGACTTTATTGGCCATGCCAATCTTGTAACGTCCAGGAGATCGAGATAGTCCTGTACAATGCACGCACTGTGGGCAGTGACATTGAAATCCTTGAACACAAAGTTATTTCCAAACCCCTCCCTAGCATATAGGTAAAATATTATCTCTGTGTGATGTCAGTAAGAGGCGCCATTGACGTTTCACTGGAAGAAATGAAGAGCAGTTTTACCATCACGAAGAATAGCTGCGCAAACATGTACTACACCACCTCCAGTGTGTTCCATGTGGGTGAGATAGTATTCCCTGAACTGCTCTTCAGAGAAACGACGAACACGAATCCTACCATCAGCTTTAACAATCCAGAAACAGGACTCATCTGAAAAGATAACATGTCGCCAGTGTCCTAACTGTACGTTGGCATGCTGTTATGCCCAAGTAACATGGTGAAGGCTGTGAATTCTGGTTAATATCGATTTGCAAATAGTTCTTCTTGTAAAATAACCTTGTTTGGTCAGTCTCCTTTTCGCTGTTCTTCTGGATACCCTGGAATGAAGGTGTTTGTGCTATTCCTGTCATCAGGTGTTGCAAGACTTTTTTTCGACCTTGATATGTTAACCTGATCAAAACACGGTCATTTCGGACAGTAGTTTTTCGGCATCTACCAATAGACTTTCCTGAGACAACGTTTCCTGCAGTTCAATAACGTTTCAAGATTCTGAATATAGTACACTGGGGAAACCTTACTGTTCTGGTAATGTCCGTTTGCTTCATACCATTTCTGGACAGTCGAACAATTTGACGCCTTATAACTTCTGGCAGATGTCGAGGTACGACTCTACATCAAGTACAGAGAAATTGACTGAGCAAAGCTTTGATCTGTTTCGAAAAATATTATACCAAAAGCATACCCTTTTATACAAAACAGGTGTGTATGTGTTTTGATGAATAAATGCTCAAAACAACTTATACAGAGCAGAATAAGAACTCGTACACGTTTGTCTGATCATATGCTACCTTTTCTGTTACTACCCGGGCATTTACTCAATAAATTCTCCATGCATGTAAACAATAACCTCAATATAGAACAATATGCAAACATTTTGCCAAAACCATACAACTAAGAGAACAGCTGACTGGTGAAATTAGTTTTCTGGTATGTGTGAATTTCTTTTGGTTCACCGAATCTGGCTAGCCATTGTTTCATGAAAAAATCAGTTATGGACTGTGCTAAAGTATCAGCCAACGGATAAGCTTCAGCTCACTTGGTGAAGTAGTTGACAGTAACCAGCACATATCACTTTCCGTGTTCAGTTTCTGGGTGATGCTAAGTATTATATATAGTGATTTTTTACAGAGGAAAACCAAAAATTATTTGCTGGATTTTACCCTATCTAGAAACTTTTTTTCCTCTGGGTGGTGGCTACACTCAGAGTGTTCGGTACATGGCGATATTTATCAGTGTCTTGGCCACTGATGTATCAATAAAGAATTCCATTATACATCATTGTAACTTGATACTATAGGCTCATAAAACAATCCAACCAGCCCTGCCAGAGCTTAGCTGACCATCACAATCTGTAGTGCAAGTTATCTCTTGCATCTCCCCAAGTCAGCGGCCAAACATGACTCGAGATCCATTAGCTTTTTCAAGTGCAAGTAGCAGCAGCTGAAGCTCTTTCCTGGTTATCTTGCACTCGCTGGGTAGTTGGGTGAAACTGGTTGCTTTGCATATCTTGCTGCATGGCAAGATATGAGCAGTTAGTTATATAATGACCCTGCTACCTTCACTGAAAATATGTGCTTTGTTCCTTCCTTCCTTCTGTAGTGACGATCATTTGCAATCATCATCAGCAATGGCTATGATACAAGCATTATGAGAGCAGCAAGGTAGCCCTGCTAATTCACTTGGTTTCAGTGCTTCTGTGCTGTAATGCTGAGATGTGTTGGTGGCTGGGTTTTCCTCTGTGGAGTCTGAGCTTGATGCAGGGTGCCCACTTGTGCATAACAGTAAGCCTAGGGACAACTATGGCAGCTGCTACTGTCGGATTTTCCCCTTTTTGAGACTTTCAAACTTGCACTTTGAACTTGTAGCAGACACTGTCTCACTGATGGTGGGAATATTTGATAAATATTTTGTTTCTTTTAATAATGGAAGAGAAAAAAATTTAAGTTTGTATTTATAAGATCACAGTTAAAATTATATTTACAATTTAGTTAGTTTTTCGTGTGTGCTACTTTGCAATCCCATAGAGAATACGTTGTAGTATTCATTGGTTATGAATAAGTAAATTTTCACTGAAACTTGTTTTTTTAAATGCAAAGTAAAACCGTGTTCGAAACATATATGTTCCTCCAAAATATATAATTAATCATGCTTACAAATCGTTGTTTGTCAATTTACTATTAACCAAATGGGTGTTACTAGTAAGATAAAACAGAGAATGTCTGATTTTTTTTAAAAATTAATAAATTGCAGAAGCTTTTGAATGTATTTCACGATCACAAATTGATTTTCTAGAATTTCTATGCATAACGTTGGAATTTGAAAAGAAAATATTGAGTGGAAACACTATATGTGTAACTATGGTTGTAGAAGCAACTTTAACATGACTAGTATTATTTATTTCCATTGTAGTTTTGTGAATGCTCATCATTTTCATTATTATTTACGATAAGCTTTGAGCTACAAACATGTTTATTTAATAGATGAAAAAAACTAAAACCACATTTTAATACTGTTCACAAACATTTAAAAATAACAATGACATTTTACCGCTCAACAATATGTTAAAAATGCACACACATCAACCTAGTTACTCTAGAGACCAGTAGGTTGTATTATTTTATTTTTGTTATAACCTTCTATTACCTACGTAAAACTCTTAGACCCATTTGTACGCAATAAAATCGTAGTGATTGTTATGGCATTACAAGTCGTCCAAGAATTACAGGATAAAAAGATACTGTGTGTCGGTTTGGTATGTTTAGACGTCGTCGTATTTTGTAAGTCATATCCAGAGGAAGATACCGATCAGAGGTTGGTATCTGAGTGAAAAAAAATTAAAATAAAGTTTATATATAATTGCCATTAAAAATATTATTATTAACATGACCGATTAATACTAATACCGCTAGTAGTAGTGCTACTACTACTGGTGATACTAATAGTTTTACTATCATATTAGTATTAGTGGAAATGTAAGTTAATGTTCGTTCATGCTATGTTGTAAATTAAAATGTTGAATTTCGATATACTAGTGGTACTGGTAATGGTTAGAAAACGGATCTTGATTGATAATAAAAACTACTGCTACGACTGAAGTTAAAATTCAGACGTTACGAGATATACAGACTTCCTCGTGAGTGAACTATAATACATCAAAGATGGTACTAATTCATGTATAACTGTGATACCATGATTTAAATAAATAGTTGAAGGCAATACTCGTACTGAGTCGTGGAACAAAATGAAAGAAAACATGACACAATAACGTAACAAATATTTCAAACAAGTACTAAGTAAAAGGAATTATGAACTGTTACTATTTTAAATAACATCAACTGGTAAATCATTCTACTATTTTTTCTACATGTTGATATTAACCGCCCTCCCTCCACCACCGCCACACACACACACACACACACAAAACTTCTTAAGAGAAATCTGCATGCAATTTATAATCTCTAAAAGTTTAAACTTACTAGTAATAATATTTCCCCAAATTTCAAAATATTTGCATTCAAACCTCTTACTGTAAGTTATAACAAAGATCTTCTAGAATGATTTAAGTGCATAATGCCATAGTGAGTGTACTGGTATTGTAAATGCAAATGTGAAGGGCCATATGTAATTTGTTTTTTGAGGAAATGTATGTTTGTGAGAAAGTCTTAGCATAACATAGTGTGGTCCTTCAAGCCTGCACACCCACCTCTGAGGTGGAAAAATAAAAAATCTAAACCTACCCTTTATATTTCATGAAATCATCAATTCCCCTATTACTCTCCTAAAAGGTGCTGACCTCCACCACTGTAAGTGGTAACTCATTCCATAAATTAATTGCATTGTTAACAAAATAAAGTCACTTACTTGGTACCTAGTCAGTTTTTTCTATATCTTTTATGTGTTTGTCCTGTTGTCTTCAGAATAAATCACAAATAAATCAGAGGGGCAATTCAATCATTATTCATGTTACATTTTTTAGCCATTTTCAGTGCTTTTACCTCCTCAGAATGTATAAGTTATGTGCAAAGCTCTACTGTTCTTGTTATCTAACAGTTTTGGTCCACAAAGGCCTATATTCATGTGATTAATTTATAAAAATGTTCATTAGCTTGTCTTTGTTTTGCATTTTATAGGGTGTTAAGAGAAAAAAATATGGAAATTTTTTGCCACTTAATTACCAGTCTCTTCTATCAGCTGATCATACCACAAAAGTATCTGGTGTTTTTTTTTAATTAGCTAATATCCAAAGCAAAATATCAGTAAAAGCATGAATTAGATTTAGATTGTATGTTAAGCTCCAAATTACATCACATTACGTAAGGGTTGGTTCTTACATTACCATTACTTACTTTATAGTGTCTCTATGAGTTCAGCTGTCTTTGTTGTATCTTTGCTTATCACTCTTTATAGCCCTTTTTCTTTCTTGTTTAGCTTTAATTTTATTATTTATATTCTTTTAAGGATAATCTACCAGTGTTTATTATTACTCACTATCCAACCTGCAGACTTTTTCAGCTCAGATGAAAAAAGAGTTATTATAGTGAAATCATTTTCTCCAAGAGAACATTTTTATTGGAATTTAAGATTGGATAAAAGTATCTTGCTTTTTAGTGTTCCTATGTTGATACGTCCTGTTTGGACATTTTGGATAATTTTAAATTGTCTTGAGCTGCCACCTATACCATAATACAATTAGTAAATAGCTAATCACTCCATAAGCAGTCACCATAAGGCATTATAGGACTATTATCTTCATGAATATCTTATTAATCATTTTACATATATGCCGTACTCACCTTACTAAATTAAGCCCCATTTTCTTTACTGGATTTAATCCATATTTGTCTAATTTTTTTTATATTATGCACAATTGAAATAGTGACAGCAAACATTAATTTGATAGCAATCAAAAGTGAGAAGAAAAGAAAGACCCCAGCATTGCTCACAAAACATGGGCAAGACCAGTGTATCTTCTGGCTTCAGAGAGTGAGTGGAGTAATTAATAGGTGGAAAAAAAAAAAAAATCTGTCAACTGAAAATGATGATACCCATATAATCAAGTTATACCTTAATTGTTTCCATTTCATCAGTAATGGAGCTCATTTTAAAGTGTTTTTTCCAACATGAAAAGAGAAACATTTGTAGCTAAGTCTAATAAAGTAATCTTGTTCATAACATTAACATAACATAATGTTTTGTGGCAACACGAGACCTATTGGTCCATCTCGGCTGTCCCATCCTCTAAACTAAAACTATTGAATAAATAACTTTTTTTAAAAATCTTAAAGCCAACCCTTGTCATTCATACAGTTATCAAGCTTTCTCTTAAACTTGCTTAAATTTACTACCTCCACAACGTCAAAGGCCAACCACCTTGTTAAAAAAATAAAACTGTCTTAACTGCCAAAATTTATATTTGTGTCCCCTATTCTTACTATTCTCATCATTAAGTATGAAAAAAGATGATGCATCAGTATTATCAATTCCCTTTACAATCTTAAACACCTCAATGAGATACCTTCTAACTCGTATTTTTTAAGTGAAGATATGACAACCCCTCCATCTTGGGCACCATGCTAGTAGCCCTCATCTGAACCCTTTCCTGAGGTAAGGAGCCCAAGACTGAACACAATACTCCAAATGTGGCCTAACCAGTAATTTATACAATGAAATTATAACCTCTTTAGACTTTTATTCAATATTTCTGTAGATACAACATGAAATCTTATTTGCCCTACCACTAGCAATGGCACACTGCTTGGATGGCTTAAGACACTGATCAATTATTACCACAAGATCCTTTTCTTTCATGACACTGTTAAGGTTATTCCCATCCAAAATATATGCCCAACATACTAAATGATCTAAATTCTTTTGTAAAGCAACAGCATCCTCTTAACAGCTAGCAACACCCAATACCTTAATATCATCAGCTAATTTAAGTAATTTATTGACCATTCCCTCATCTGTGTCATTGAGGTATACCAAAAAGAGCAAAGGTCCTAAGACTGAGCCCTGAGATACCCCCCCTTTAACATTAATCCATTGTGATTGAAATACATTAACAACAACCCTCTGTTTTCTTTCATCCAGCCATTCTTCTATCCAATTTGCTAACTTATTGCCAACACCTATAGAGATAATTTTTTTACAAGCCTTTTATGTTGTACCTTGTCAAATGCTTACTGAAAATCCAGATACACCAAATCTACACCCTTAATTACACAGCTATCCAAGTGAAATATTTTGATTTATCACTACCCAAACATTAACATTACGATTCAAATCTGAAATGATTCTTTAGAAATGTTTGAATTTTTAAATTTGTATCCATAGTTACATGGATTTGCCCAGAGGCTTTTATCCAGTTGATTCTCCAGATAATAAGTCTATCAAACTTCAGCAAGATTACCTCTTTATTACCCTGTCTATTATAAATAGAAAACAAAATATCTTAACTCATCCCTATAAGATACTCTTCCATCCCTAGAATCATCCTAGTGTCCCCTCTGAGCCTTTACCAACAAGTCAGTATCTTTTATTAGTTATAGAATCCAAAGTGTGCATAACATCCTATGTGAGGCCTAACCAGTAATTTATATAAAATTTTAAAAACTTTCATTTCTATACTTTAATTATTTTAAAAATTGTTTAGAGTAATAGTGAACTGCTTTAGTAAGTTGAGTCATTTTTACTTTCCATTAGTTTAAGCTCTTAGTATGTATATTAATACTAGCTATATAACAGTTCTGTATATAATATGGCATTATGTCATTAGTAAAGTTACATTAGTTTTTGCTAATTACTTTCTCTGACATATTTACAGCTGTTGTAACTTTCCCTTCTAAATCTTATTATTATTATTATTGAAATTTCTTGAGACTTATTGCATTTACATTTCAGCTTTTCTAGACAATTTACTGTAGTTATTACTTTCTGTTACATGCTACATGCTCCTATTGTTGAATGTATATGGCTCTAGGTCATATGTGGCATAAGCAACCTGACTTTACTATTGTTATTTTGCTTTGTACTTAAAGCCAAAATCTTCTCCATTATGTAGCTTTCATGGAAAATCTTCAAAGATAGAGATCGAGATAGTGATTTCCATTTGGTATATAGAGGTTGTTCTAGTTTAAAGTTTAAACACTAAGAGCTTATTTTCAATTATAGTTTAATTTTTATTTCTTTGGACCTTACAGGGGGCTTTACTGGATTAGTGAGAGAAACATTAAAGGTTCTTTTACCATTCTCTTACTAGTTCAACAAATTCATAAACACCATTGTTTTGTATCAATATATTGTGTTTGTACTCTGTTTGTGTAAATAAAGATTGCCGATGTGGACGTTTTGTGGTATCTCTTTTTTTTGTTGACAAACTCATTTGGAGTCTAGAAGGTAAATACACCCATATTCTGTAATATCATATCTGTTATTTTCTTCATACCTTAGAAGTATAAAGTGATGAAGCTGAAATAAAGAAATATGGGTGCTACTATAACGTGAGGTCTACCGCCATATGTCGCCTACCCAGGTCTATCAAACATGTATAAAAATGTATCAAATTAAGTGTTTATCGCTAAAATAAATGTATGGAAATGTGTGATATCCATGAGGGATGGATAATGCAGCGGTAGACCTCACGCTATAGTAGCACCGAAATATGGAAATAACTTAAAACATAAGCCTGTTGTATATTCTGGTTCATAAACTTCCTGCAATGCAAGAGTAGGGTCCACTATACCACAGGCTTATGTTTTAATTTATTTCCACATTTCGTTATTCCAGCTGCATCACTTTGTACTTCTAAGGTACGAAGAAAATAATATCTTTGTTTTTCTTTCATATATGTGTACACATATTTTAAGTATTTTGTATTCAAATATGATTCTTTTTCATTTTTAATTTGAGATGCTTAGCTCATCGTTGGCAGCAAGGTGGAAATGCAGCCAACAACTGCACAGTTCTCAAGCAGCTTGGAGTTTCCTGTGAATACTTAGGAACAATGAGTACAGATTATGGTGGATTGTAAGTTGTTATAGAAGAAAATAATGTACCTTTTACATATTTTTGCTTTTACTTTATTAAACATAAATAATTCATGTGCTAACATTTTGTTGACTTTTGTTTGACCAACCTTTTATTTAAATTCATATTATTCATATAATTTGTTCATTGAAGTATGGGAATTGAACTTGTTAATCTTTAACAGAAAAAGAAGTATGCTTATAGAATAATTTGTTTATTTAAACATATGACATAATGTGATCTATCTGAAACAGTCAAAACCAATTTTCACATGCTGAATGGTGTTCAAGTTGTATCACAGTAAGAAAGATCATTCTTTAAAAACTAGCACTTAGTTTTTTATACATAACTGTTTGTGAATTTCTGCTTCAAATATGTACAAGAGCAATTAAAATGCAGTGAAATTATTTTGATGAAACACTTGTTAAGTTTAACTTCATGTACTTTTTGATAATAATTTTCATAATCAGCTGCAAGATGTTTTATTGGATTTTTTTTGTTTCATTTGTACAGATTTCTCAAAAAATGCTTTATTGACAGCCACATAGACATCAACAACTGTGTTTACTATGAAGAAACAGAGTGCCCGATGTCATGTGTATTGATTAATTCCCAGAATGGATCACGTACCATATTGCATTCAAATAAGTAAGTTGATAATTTTGATTACTTTTGTTACACAAAATTGTCTTTTTTTAGACCACAAGATGTTGTAAAAATATCACATTCAACAGCTAATTCTTTCAGCCACCAGTAATGTAGTAATTGATCCATTATTATCTTCCAGCTTGAAAAGAACACAAATTACATTTCAATTTGTATATCTGTAAACCGTCTTTTATTGAGACATTGCTCTAACTTAGTCATTAAAGCTAGGATAGAATTTTGAATATAGTTTTGATGAGTATATTGTTTTTATTTATAATTTTGGATATAACTCTTAAAGTGATCGTATATGTGTTAGAAACTAATATATGGTGTATAGTATCACTGCAAGATGTGTGATAATGATCACAGTTATCATCTGTTATAAATGTTTCATGTAATCTAGAACTTTTAAAGCAAGTCTAATTTCAACAAAAAGTTTAGATTGATATAACTTAAACCTGTATAGATGTTAATTTTTTTATATTAGGTTTTTTTCAATGTAAATCAACATTATATTTTAATGAAGGATAGCTAAAATATTGGTTCTAGTCATGCAAATACAAATTTTTTGGTAGCTCTGTATTTCTTGGTAGTTCTATATGCTATTATACTCTCAAATTAAGTTTTAAACTAATTTCACAGTCTAATATTCTGCACATCTTAAATAAATGATGACTGAATTTTGCTTGTGATGTTTTGCGATTGACTTAAAGATTAGATGTTTTTAATAAAGAAGTGTATGCACTTTCAGTTTTGCAAATTATATTTTTATTCAATTTACTCATCAAGGTACACATTGTTCATACACTGCATCACCAATTACAGAAGAAACTTAATGCACTACAGTTTATGAAAGGTTATTAAGTACAGTTAACACCTTAGTATTTAGAAATAACTACAGTTAAAATAATGCTTGTTTAGCTAATTAGTATTTTGTACAATTTTGAAATGCTTTAAACATTAATTGTTATGCTAGTTTTAATAATTTTAAGATAACTGAAACTTTAAAATCTTTAATTATAAAAAAAAAGGTTAGTTTATTTTGCAACTTCACTCTGCCCTTGTTAATTAAAGGTAGAGATAATATAACTACTTTAAACTAATTTCATACCTGGTTCATATGTGCTGGAGAGGTTAAACTGGACATTTCAGTAATAACCTAATTATTCCCTTTGGAGATAATCTAGCATATTTGATTATTTCCTTGGAAAAAAGTAAATATTATATTCATCCAGTTGTACAGAAAAGATATTTCAGTAAAGTTTAACTGTTGTGGTTTACTTCTCTTTTCTAGACTAATTTTGTAACTTATTTCAACAAACAATGTTCTTAATTTAAAATGCAACAATTTGATACTTAATTATCTGATGTTGAAAAAGCTGAAGCATTTTGTATTATGTCTTTACATTACTTATTTGTTTGATACTATTAAGAACTCTTATTTTAAATTTACCTTTTTTACTTTTTAAATACTGATAATTTTAGAAGAAATGCCAGTTTTCAATTGAACAATATTGCAATGTTATAATTTTTATAAAATTGCTGATTTAATTTAAAGAAACCTGAAATAGGAAATAGCAATAACTACTTTTTTGAATGTGTGTTGTTAAAAGGTTTTGAAGTTAAAATTTATACTGTTCTAAAAAAGAAGTTTCAGGTATAATGTTTTCTAGCAAACATGACTAACTTTAGTTGAATTCCTTGCAGAAATTTTGTATGCCATGCATAAAATTAAGAAACCTGATTATTTTGTAATGCTGATTGTATCATGCTTTAGTTAGCCATAGTAAATAATTAATTTAATGTTTAAGTTAGTTTTCAGTTTCTTAGTAAGTACATAATTTGAAAATTAATAATAATAATAAAAAGTATTAGATTAAATCATTGAATTCTATTGCAAAAATTAATTTTTATGCTCTAGTTTTTACTGTATAATGGTGTTATAAATGGTAAATATAAACATTAATGGTAGTATCAAGTTCTGTACAAAAAATCAAATCATATTTTGTTTTTAATGAAAGTATTTTTGATAAATTTAATGAGGTAGTTATGAGATCTTATTGCTAAGTCAAATTTATTTTTGAATTACATGTAACAGGTACTGAAAAAATGTCCAAGTAAGTTAAATCACTTTAGCATAGTTTCACTTTATTTTTTAATTGCACATGCAATAATTAATGAGTCTGAAATATAGGCTTACCTTTCTGCTAGCCTTGAGTTATCTCCAATTTAAGACATGTTATAACATGAACTGCTCTATTGCATGATGTAATAATCATCATATGATAATAGCCCTTCACCAGTAGGAGAGTGACATCCTCCATGCACAGTAGATCCCCATAAGGACTTTCACATGAAATTAACTTCTTTCTTATCTTTGTTACTATCTTTAAAAGATGTGTTTTTAAGTTTAAACATAATCAGTTTTGTTAGATTTATGCTCCATTTTCACAGTTTGGGATGCCAGTGAGTTTTCACTCCTCTCAATACTAAATTCACCCCTCTTCTTGTCCCTGATATCTCACCCAGCAGCTCTGGCTGTCCTCAGCCACAACTGATCTCATCAACAATCCCTTCTTCTGTCATCTCCCATGTGTCTTGTTGTTAATTCGCAACACTTGTTGGGTCTTGTTGATGCATCTCTTTGACCAGCTCAGTTTTGGTTTCCTCATCTTCATCTCAGTCACACTTACTTCAACCTCATACATCTCTTTTTCACTCTGGAAAGTTGTCTCTTCATCTTCACAGGTTAGTGTTTTTCTGTCCCTTGCTGGCCAGTTAGATTTCTCTGACTGTATAGCTATTATATTATCCCATTTGTCTTAACCTTCTATCAACAAAAGTGGCATATTTTTCCCCACTGGTCCATCTGCTACTCTCTACCACCAAGCTGTCCTATTTATTGTTGCCCACATTTTGGCCTTCTTTTCCCAGTTGTTTGACCAAAGATTGTTGGTTTCTATCATCGCAGGATAATGGGCAATTTCCTTGACTATCTTTTGCCTTTTTTTTTTCTGTAGATCTGTCTTTTCCTCCCCTGATTTTCCACTTTGTTCCAGTCTTTTCTAATTCTTTGCACCCTCCCATTCTTGTACAGGGTCTTTGCCTAACTTGAAACTTGATATGGTTCTACACATTGTTACCTAGGCCCCATTTGAACCATTGACATTAATAATGACATGGCCAACTGTGAAAAGTCCGTGCAAATTTTTCAAAATTAAGTTTAAACTGAAAAAACCACATCTGTTCAATACAATGCTGAGGATAAAAATGAACTTAATTTTGATTGCAAGTGCTTAAGGGATCTACTGTGCTAAGAAGATGTCACCCTTTCATTGGTGGAGAGCCATTGTCACATTATGATTACATTGTACACTAGTGCAGTTCACATTATAACACACATCATATGTAGGAGATAACTCAAGGCTAGTGACATGCACAAAATATCAAAGGCAGATTTGAAGGAATAGCTATTGTGTGAAGAGGTAAGTATCTATTGGAAATACATTTTCAGATAAAAAAAATGTTAACATGTCTTTATAACCAACAGCACAATATTAAATCAATTAGATAGAAATTATGACCTGAGTACCTTCCTTGTTTTTCATCATATTATCAGTAATACATTTTTGAAATGAGTTTATATCATAAGCCAATATATTGTGGATTATTTGTATCAGTTGCTTTAAAAAATTAATTTAGTTAGAAATTTGATTAATAGCACTTGTAGAACTGTGAGAAAGTTTATATTTTTCATGAGAAACACAATTCATGAATAATTTTAAAATGTTGCCATCTGTTGAGCATAGTCCATTAAACTTTCAAAAAGTTATCATCAGATGAACATTGTCCATGAATGTTTTAAAAATGTTGTCATCGAATGAACATAACCATTAATATTTTAAAAGTGTTGTTATCTGATGGACATAGTTCATAAATGTTTTAAAGAATGTTGTTATCCAATGAACATAGTCTATAAATGTGTAAACATTTTTATCATCCCTTCAGATTTTAAAATTTTACAAGTAACCTGAAGTTGCCCCCCCTCTCCCCAAAAAAAACCAACAACATGTAGATGAATTTTTATTGTCAAACATTCCATGTAAATTAATTTTCTTGGATTACTTCTTATGGTAGGGAATGGGCTGGCCTGTGATAGAGTTCTGGGTTTCAGAGAGAGTAAACTAATTTGAATCTATGCAATATCTTAAAATACTCCATGCATTTTAAGTTGTGGATGCATTATAAGAGTGGCAGTCAATATTTTAGTATGAATGATGGGTGGTAGTGTGCTGCTAACTAGCTGCTTTCCTTCTGGTTAGTATTTCAAAATTAGGGCCAGCAGCATATAGCCTTAGTAGCTTTACCATAAATACAAAGTACAATACAATTTGTTATGGTATTTCATTAACTGGATATAGAATAATTGTTTATTTAGGCTTGCATTATTGTTCTGTACTTTTCTTGTGGTATATTGACCATATTTTTGGTTATGTGGGATCCATTACTAGTTAACTAACTAAAATAATTTTTAAGATGTAAACATTAACAACCACAGAAAAATGTTTTAATATACTGTTACGTCTCCGTTTGTTAATTAACTTTCCGTAACTTCGTTCCGACGAAACTTTAGCGACACAAGTCCTTACTTAATAAAACTGGTTTATTCTTTCTGAATATAACTATACCGATACACATAACGTCAACAGTTGCGCTATAACAAACTATAATTCACGTATCACGAGCTAGACTTCAACAATACGTCTCTCTCCTGACTGCAGTTCAATTACT